TGAACCGGTCAAACCAGCCTCTGCTTGCCTTGAAGACTTCTGGCTCGGCCGAGGTTCCTGGCTGTTCCCGGATGAGGTCTGCGTGCAAGGCCTTGGCCTTCTCACAAATCACGGCCTCAGTCACTGTGTCCCCTGCACGCTGCTTCTCTTCTATCCAGATGAGGAGCAACTTCTCGACCTCCTCCAGAACAGCTGGGCGGTTCTTCACGATCCTGGTGACTCCCTTGGCTGCATCAGTCGCAAGGATCTTCTCCCTCATCTTCAGGATGGTCCCGATGGTCGATGGGTTCCTGCCGTACTCCCTGGCGAGGTCCGTCACACGCATTCCACCGTCGTGCTTCCGGATGATCTCCTTCTTCATCTCCAGCGTCACCTTCTCCTTCTTCCTCTCGCCGGCCTCCGCAGCAGCAGCAGTCTTCTTGGGTCCCATGGCAGCACAGCTGTTACCTTTGTAAAACTCAGAAAAGAAAAAAAAAATCAGCAATTCAAACCCACAACCAAGTCCTTGAATTCCAAACACCCAACCCAAAATCCAAAAACCCCAAAAAAAGTTTTAAAAGTTTAACTTACGAAATGGCTGCAAATCACCAAAGTCTTCAAAATCCTCAAATGGCTGCAAAAGAAGTTTTGGGAAAGCTTTAAAAATCACCAAAGTCTTCAAAAACCTCAACTGTTCCCCCAGCCCCTCCCCAACTGTTGCAAACCCCTCCCCAACTGTTGCAAACCCCTCCTCAACTGTTCCCCCAGCCACCCAGCACACAGAAATTCAAAACCCAGAAAATTTTTCAAAAAACAACAACATGGCCCAATGGTTACAGAAAACCATAAAAATTCAAAAAAAAGCACACAAGCTCCCAGATTCCTGCAAACCCCTCCTCAACTGTTCCCCCAGCCACCCAGCACACAGAAATTCAAAACCCAGAAACTTTTTCAAAAAAAAACAACATGGCCCAATGGTTACAGAAAACCATAAAAATTCAAAAAAAAGCACACAAGCTCCCAGATTCCTGCAAACCCCTCCTCAACTGTTCCCCCAGCCACCCAGCACACAGAAATTCAAAACCCAGAAACTTTTTCAAAAAACAACAACATGGCCCAATGGTTACAGAAAACCATAAAAATTCAAAAAAAAGCACACAAGCTCCCAGATTCTTGCAAACACCTCCCCAGCTGTTCCCCCATCCACCCAGCACACAGAAATTCAAAACCCAGAAACTTTTTTCAAAAAACAACAACATGGCCCAATGGTTACAGAAAACCATAAAAATTCAAAAAAAAGCACACAAGCTCCCAGATTCTTGCAAACACCTCCCCAGCTGTTCCCCCATCCACCCAGCACACAGAAATTTAAAACCCAGAAACTTTTTTCAAAAAACAACAACATGGCCCAATGGTCACAGAAAACCATAAAAATTCAAAAAAAAGCACACAAGCTCCCAGATTCTTGCAAACACCTCCCCAGCTGTTCCCCCATCCACCCAGCACACAGAAATTTAAAACCCATAACCTTTTTCAAAAAACAACAACATGGCCCAATGGTCACAAAAAATCATAAAAATTCAAAAAAAAGCACACAAGCTCCCAGATTCTTGCAAACACCTCCCCAGCTGTTCCCCCATCCACCCAGCACACAGAAATTTAAAACCCAGAAACTTTTTTCAAAAAACAACAACATGGCCCAATGGTCACAAAAAATCATAAAAATTCAAAAAAAAAGCACACAAGCTCCCAGATTCTTGCAAACACCTCCCCAGCTGTTCCCCCATCCACCCAGCACACAGAAATTTAAAACCCAGAAACTTATTCAAAAAAAAACAACATGGCCCACTGGTCACAAAAAATCATAAAAATTCAAAAAAAAGCACACAAGCTCCCAGATTCTTGCAAACACCTCCCCAGCTGTTCCCCCATCCACCCAGCACACAGAAATTCAAAAATTCAAAGCCAGATTTTTTTTTTTTAAAAAAAACATGGCCCAATGGTCACAGAAAATCATAAAAATGCAGAAAAAAAACCACACAAGCTCCCAGATTCTTGCAAACCTCTCCCCAACACCAAGTCCTTGAATTCTAAACACCCCAACCCAAAATCCCAAAAAACCCCAAAAAAGTTTTAAAAGTTCAACTTACCAAACAGCTGTAGAAGAAGTTTTGGAAAAGCTTCAAAAATCCAGCAAACTCTTTAAAAAGCTCAGAAAGGCCACCACACCGCGTGCAATGTGTTGCTCCTCGAGGTCAAGTCGCAACTGCACCTCTTCCAGCAATGCACCCTGGGTTTTAACGGTTTTACGAAAAGGAAACAAACTTGCAAGACGTTTTCGTCTTGCGAAGCAAGCCCATAGGGACATTCGTCTTGCGAAGCAACTCGAAAACGAAAAAACCTTTCGTCTTGCGAGTTTTTCGTCTTGCGAGGCGTTCGTCTTGCGGGGCACCACTG